GGGTGTGATGGCACACGCCTGTAATCCCAGTGGCTTGGGAGGCTAACACAGGAGGATCACGATTTCAAAGCCAATCTCATCAACTTCGAGGCCCTAAGCAACTCAGTGAGATCCTGTCTCTAAATAAAATAAAAAATAGGGCTGGGGATGTGGCTCAGTGGCCAAGTATCTCTGAGTTCAATCCCTGGTATCAATAAAATAAAAAATAAATAAAAAGGGTATAGAAATGTCAGGACAACTTGGAAAAATGTAATCAAAGAGGAGGGAGGAAGGGAAAGAGAGGGAGAAATTTAGTTAAGCAGATGTTACAGAGTGAGAGATCTACATATCTAGAAAGGAATTTATGTAATGAGCTATCATGAATTTCATCTGCAGATAAAGGACTTTAAACTTATACAATCTAATTATCTTCTCTAAGCCTAAGATCATTTGCCTTAAAAATGAAATGCAATAATACGACCATGTCAATTTGCAAGAATATAATGAATATATAGTACTCAAAACAAGGGTTGGAAGAATGCACACTCAATAATATCTTGTTTTCTTTTCTATTTTCTTTTTATTTCCCATTTCTTCTTTACTCACATTCTTTTCCTTAGACAATTCTTCAATTTTTAATTTTCTTTCCCCTAATGTGAGTAACTGCTAAATCTCCAACACTCTCTGTTTCTGGGCATTTCTACTGAACTTAAAATTACTTGGCCAATATCCCAAAGTAAAGTTAATTTGAGATTGATATAAAATCAGACCTACCCATTATAAAACAAAGGAGTTCTATAGAATATTCCTATGCTGTTTTCCTCTTAAGACTTATAATTTTAGATATGTCCCCAACAGATCAGACATTTCCCTCTACTATTCCACTGTTATCTTTTTGATTAACATCACAATACAGAACTTGTTACTTTTCTTGCCAAAAAAAATCATCATTCCTGATTCCTTCATTTTAAATAAAACTACACATTATCAAATCTTATAAAATGATAATTAACATAAACGAGTTTTCTAGATAGGTTAGAGTTTGCATCTAGAAGACCAATTTTTTGTTGTTTTTGTTGTTGTTGTTGCTCTGCTTTGCTTTGCTTTGCTTTAATGTCTGTCAGTTGGAATAAATTTTTTTTCAAAGTCTACTTCCACATGCACATGACTGAATGACTGCTGTAACTGAAGCCAATGGAGGCTTGTTTGGCACTTGTTACAGGCTGGAATCCTCAACTTGAGTCCCTCCTCCATATTTTACTGTGATCATAGCCACAGTTTTGGAAACCCATTGCCATGAAGGTTGCCTCTCTTTTCAGTGCATCCTCCTCCAACAACTGGGGAATAGCTTTAATTGGTTTATGCTTGAAAAATTGGATGAAATTTACTGTCAGAATAAGTAGTTATTCAAGATTAAGTCAAAATGAGTTTTTGAGAAACATTTCTACTAATAAAGTATAAAAACCTTTAAACATTTTTTTGTGACTTCCATGAGGTTTTAAATTTTTATATATGAATTTTCCCTTTGTTGTTGATACAGATGAAGCAAAATGGTTCTAAGTTTGGAAGGCATCATTAAACTGTCATTCCCTCAAAAACACAAGCCTGACATTATCATTTGTTTTTTGTCTTTCCTCACTGCCCATGTCCAAAATTAAAAAAAAAAAAAAAAAGTGCTGTTACTCTGCCTTCCTGTGTTGATATCTGCACTGTGCTGTGACTCCCTACTTGCCTGGTCAATGGCTCACTATAGAATTATAAATTAGCCCCTGAATGTTTACAACCATCTAGCCTTTCCCATCTTCATTATATATTTTACACTAAGGGAAAAGTTGTTTTCCTAAAATTTTATTTATTCATTATTTATTTATTTAATCCACTTGCTCCAAAGATGTCAAGTCTTCAAATTAACTCCCACTTACCATATTAGAGCTTCAATAATCATATGCCATATTCTATTTCTGCTTTAGCTTTACATGATGCAAAATATTTAGCTAAGTACCTAGTTCCCAGCAAGAATTGAAAAAAATTTTACTTCTTCTTCCAAAGCTTACCCTACTTTAGTAAAACTAGATACGACCTCAAACACTCTATCCCTTTCCTCATGTGTTCTCTCTTATGTTTTTGTAATCTCCTGTGCTTTGTAAAGCCAAGTTGAAGGGCCTTTCCACTGATTTCACTTCTCTCCCTCCCCCCGTAGAATTAATATCTATTGCTTGTATGTCATTAGGCTTTTAATCACCAATCAATTGATAGTGCTGTTTAATCTTTAGTGGGACTTTTTTTCTTCAAAACCATTTATCATATTTTGAGTCAAGTGACATATTTTGTGGTTTTTAATTGTATAGAAAAAAGTATTTAGTAATTGTTATGTAAGTATTTGTTGAAGGCAACTAAATAAACAGCACATTTACTTTTATATTATATGTTGTTCTATATTTAACTGGACAATTTCTAATAAATATTCTGTAAACTATATGTCCAGAGGGTTTATTATGCACCATACATATATATTGGTTTCAATTGCTTTGAAAACCTGAAAACGCTTATTTGCATGGGTCCTAAAAAATATTTTAAAACAATTCTTATAGTTATAATTCAGACTTCACTAGTACAATGATCATTGATTTAAAAAATCATTTATGCCTAAAATAAGATGAGCTTAAAACCTGAAAGTCCAATTAAATGTATTGTATTCTACTAGAGTTATTGAAGATTTTATGTCCAAATAAAAACTTTTGTCTTATTCAACCGTTTTTCCTGCTAACATTACCATCACTAAATATTGAGGGATGTAAAAAATCTTATACATTGGATTTTATAAATTTCATGGAAAGTCAAATATATTCATTAAAATATATTATTTTTCCTTAAAAAATCTTCACCAATTTGAATGATTTATAGATCTTCAGGTCTAAGAATAATGTCAATCACCCTAAAAAAATGCTATGCTTGCTGTGTTCTCAGTATTAGTTATGGAATACAGACTTTACTCCTATATCAGGCTTTATGATAATTAAATCGAAAGGTATGTATGGAATGATTTCTGTGTGCCAGGTGCTGTACTGTGAACATAACCAAAGTAATACAGGGAATTTAGAATAATAAGAGAGGCAACTAATGATATTCCAATATAATTTATAAAATAGAAGTCAGAACTCTGAGGCAGGGTAAGTTTCACAAATAAATGATCCATAGAAATTTCTACAGCTATGAATAATTGCAATTTTTCCAAGGAGAAAGAGAAAAAAATGCAGTTTCCTAGAAGAACATGAGAGTATAAATTATACTCTATCAAAGTAGAAAAGATCAAGGTGGCTTGGGGAACAAGAAGATGTTCAGTACCTTAGACTGGATAGACTTAAAGGGGAAGAATTAGGGGGGGAAATAGGCTATAGTGATTGGAATCAAATTGGAAAGATGACCCAGTAGCCATGAGGAGTTTGATTTCTCAAGGCCCAGTGTAGAGCCATGAGAAAGGTATAAGCAAAGGAATGGCATGGGTAAGGAGGTGCATTAAACTAAAATTTAGAACTGATCTTAAAGACTGACTGATGAGTGAAGGAAAATGGAGTCAAGAAGAAAGACATTGCGAGTCAAGGAGGAAACGAAAGGAATCTGAACAGAGTGTGGTGATGAAAATGAAGAAAAGGGATAAAGAAACATTTGAAAGCGGAACTAACATGACTTCAACATGCTGTGGATGGTAGTTAAGAAGGGATTTAAAGCAACTTTCCACTAATCAGGCTGATGAAAGAAGATGGAGATTGAGAAAAGGCCACCAAATATTGCCTTTGGTCTGTTACAGTGGCTTTTCAGAGTACAGACAGGAATAAAATTGAATTCGAGGAAAAACATGAAGACTGTATTCAATGGTTCTGAAAGGAGTTTATTTAGACATATGATCATCAGAAAGAAGAGATTAAAAATCTGATGTTTACTCATTTGCCAATTATTTCATAATGTTAAATTGACTAAATAAATCGATATGTATCATATATAAAATGGCATGTATTTTTCATGTTTATGGGGTTTATTTATATCATCAACAAAATCTGAGTGTTATGAAGTACTTAGAATCTCAAATTAAGCCTGTTTTGTAGCAAATGATGACTGAAGATAATATATAAGCAATTCAATCTTATTTTATGATTAATTTTAAAATGAGAGGAAAAGAGATGGAGTAAAAAGAATTCAAATTGCAGCTTCTCCATGGTTTCCATGACCATGAGTTTCTATTCCTCATAATTATGATTTATTTCTTTGGTAATGGTAAGAAGCAAAATAGCTCTTTATATCTCCGGACAGAAGTAGAAGCAGAAGCAAATATTTCCAATCATCTAAACCCTTCTGTTTCTGCACTCATTAGTGCGTGCAATTAGTAGAATCCAGGCATTGACTGATTTGATTGGCATGTGTTTATTTTCTCTCCTACACCCTGTGAGATCACAGCAGGAGAGTAATGAAAGAATGGCTGTGATTTGCAACCATAGATAGCATAGCTGTGGATTATCATCATACTTACAACTGGACCAGGTGGGCCCTGGGGACCTTCTCCTCCTTTCAGTCCAGGTGCACCCTGGGAGAAGTGTAAAATCAAAGAAAATGAATCAATGTGAACTAAATATAAATGGAAGGACATGTACGATTGATAAAATGAGAAAGTCAGAAAGTATTTTTTGATACAAACATATATGCATATATACAATGATAATCAAATGCTTATGTTTACATATATTGTCTTAAATACTCAGGACTCTATTTAAGCTCTGAAAAAAAAATGCTTCTAATAAGCACTTCCATTCACACACATATTTATATGTTGATTATACCTGAGCTCCAGGAAGACCTCGTTCACCTGGGAAACCACGTAATCCTGCTGGTCCATCTTTCCCTGAGATACCTTGAGGTCCTGGATCACCCTAAAGAAGATAATACAAATCCATCAATAAAGAGTAATTTCTACACACGTTTGAATGAACAAAATTGTGATTACCTCCAACCTGCTGTCAGGAAAGCTTAAAAATTACTTAATGAAAATTTTGTGTGGAATGTCCTGTACATTAAAATGAAATAACAATACCTCAATTTAAGGATTTATATGTATAAATCAATAGTTTTATGGTCAATGAGCTAATTGTTCCATTATTCAGTAATATCTTCAAATATAATAACCTTATACTAAATATCTTCCTGACATGTTTTTCTGACATTAATTTAAATACTAACAAAATAGAGAGACTCTCTGGAGAAGTGGTAAGCAGTACAGTTAAAAGCAAATGAATGCTTGGAGCTAAGAAAAGTCCTTGAGCATGTCATACCTTTGCACCTTCTTTTCCTGCAGCACCAGGAAGACCTTGCTCACCAGGAGGACCAGGAGGGCCAGGGTGCCCACGTTCACCTATGGGACCAGTCTCACCTGTTGGTCCCTGAATTAGATAAACAAAACTACATTAGTTTGCTCTTTTAATTTTTGACAAATATAATGCATACTCAAAACATATCTTACTCCCTTGTACAAAAGTTTAACCTTTTCCTTTACTTTCATGCTGTTCTAAAAAGCACTTCTTATCAAATACTGACAGTAACATATCTGACAAAAGTCTGAAATCGTGGTTAGGATATCCAAGTGTACAAAAGAAAAAAAAATACATGAAGTCTAAAAAGATATTTTCCTTGTTTAATACTAGAATTGCATCAGTGTAAGGGCAGTCCAAGTATTGTTAAAAACTGTTTTGGAAGCCAGGTATGATGGTACACACCTGTAATCCCAGCAGCTTGGGAGACTGAAGCAGGAGGATTTGAGTTCAAAGCCAGCCTTAGCAATGGCAAGCAACTCAGTGAGACCCTGTCTCTAAATAAAAATACAAAATAGGGCTGGGAATCTGGCTCAGTGATCAAATGCCCCTGGTTAAATCCCCAGTATAAACAAAACAAAACAAAAAACAAGTTTCATGCCATTTCCCTTTTTATATAAGGTGTTAAATCAGTTTAACAATAAAGAGACATTGGTGATATATTGATAGGTACTCTACTGAATCACTACTTGATAATAAGCCTAGACCCTGGGAACTCAAAAAGTCAAGCAGTTCTCTTTGGAATTTCCATGCACTGGAGACCTCTCTATTTCTAATTTATATTCATTTGAAAAAGTCTAAGGAATGTGGCAGGGGGCCCCTGAAAGCAGTGAGTTTGGGCCAGAAGTTCCTTTAGGCCAAAGGTATCACAAATAGTGAGGTCCCTTAAATTGCAGCAAATGCCAAAATGAAAAATGTCAGGTCATTAATATGTCCCCTGACTGGTACCATTTGTGGTCCTAGAGTGTAACAAGCTATCAAGTATAAACAAGGAATGGTGACCAGCTGGTCTCTATGTTCACTCAGAATAAACAGCAAGATGAAGGATTTAAGTTAAAGATATATAAAGAGGAAAATTCCAAATGTTAAGGTTGTTATACAGTGGAATGTGTTACTGAAGTTGCTTTGGAATATCATTCCTTGTTATTTTTCTAAAAATGCAACATATTCTTAACTTTTCATCTTGTATAAAGAACACATGTGCCCCAAATATTGGCACACATTTCTAGATTTATATTTCTTTATGTAATAACTGGAAGTCTTCAACTATTATTGTGCAAAAGTTTTTCTCCCAAAGATAATTTTTTATCCGAATGCCAGGATTCACAAGAAAATGATATGAAGTTTTTACTAATTAAATAGCTGTATCAGTGAGACAAAAATGGGCAGAGATTTATACAAAAAAAAAAAGATGAACTATTTCTTCCATTACCTCACTCCCTTTATTCTAACATAAAAATATAGTTACATTTAAAACAGGGAGTTCAATTATTTATTGATTTATTTATTTGGAACCAGGCATTGAACCCAGGGGTATTTAATCATGGAGTCATATTGCAAACCCTTTTTATTTTCTTATTTTGAGACAGGTCTTATTAAGTTACTGAGGCTGGCTTTCAACTTGTGATCCTCCTGCCTCAGCTTCCTGAGTCACTGGGATTATAGGCATGTGCCACTGTGGGAATTAAGATTGTCTTTAAAATAGTTGGATTTCCATTCATAATAGGAAAAATAAATCAATCAAGATGTATACTCAATAAAATACCTGCTACTTTTATGCCTTAACATAAAGAAGGA